GAGGCAGCTGCTCCCAGCCCACTGGTCGACCTGGACCTGTGGCCATTGCTGTCCAGGTTGAGTGGGGGGCAGTGAGGGACATGTGGCTGAGTGCAGAGTCCAACTTAAACTGTCCCATAGTGGTGGTAAAAGCGGCTGATACTTGTCATCCAACTGGAGGACGGAAAGCTGACCACCCCTTATCCCCCTTGCAGCACCGGCCTGCAGTCGGGTCTGTGCTTGCACGGAAGCACCGGTCTTAATTTGTTATTTGAAGAGTCTCAGTAAAGAAAAAGAAAAAATATTAGATTTCTGCAGCCACGCAGAATGTTCCTCCCTCTCTGATACTCCCAAATCTCTTACACATATCTCAAGGTAAATGAATTCTGATTACTAAAAATAAGGCGATCAGTCGCTGGTTACATTTGTACAGACATTTGCAGCTTACAGTGCATTTCCACAACCAGGATTTTATCTATTTGGAATAAACTTTTCTGGCTGTTATATTTATCTGGAAAAATTGAAAAGACAATATAATAAAAACACGGCCCACACACCTAGCACAACTGTGTAAGAGAGAAAATTCAAACTAGCATGGATGCAAAAATAGAACAAATACTACCTACAGTCACGCCTCGTGAACGAATCACGGCAGATAAATCCTCTCTGATGACGTTAAACAGCCGCAACAACCCAGCAATGACACAGAAAACAAACAATCCCAGGGAAAACAAAGCGGCCGACAACCACAAAGGGCCCCCACTCCGACGGCCCTCAACCCTTGTTTATCTGAAAAAGGATACATTTTTGCTGAATATCTCCCTCTTTTACTGAACAAGCTTAGAGGTGACGTAAATAATATAAGTCCGTGTTAAAAGAAAGAACAAAAAATTTATTCAGAAATTGACAAGACAAAACAACAACAACAAACAAACAACAAAACAACAAAAGTGCTCTAGTTCTCTCTAGAAAATTTGGTCCTCCAAACGACACACTACAGAACAACCAGGTCTAGAGTTTTCGGGCCACAAGCCCGCCTGGTCCGACTGCTGCCGGGTTTCACATTTCTCCTGCCCAAGGTGGGAGAAGCAAGACGTTTGAAAAACAAAAATCAGGGAGGGGATGAGCCGACCCTGCAGCTTCCGCCAGGCAGGCAGTGATCTCCCGGTGCTCGGCGCTCGGCGCTCGGGCGCTTGCATCGGATGATAGGGGGAAATTTGTTTTTAATTTTTTTTAAAGATAGGTAGGGGGTGAATATCCTCTAATTTGTAGAGGAAACCATCCGTTACTGGGCATATTCTCCTACCTCTCTGAACATAGCTTTTTGAAGGCTGGACAGAAATTCTATTTCAAATCTCCTGGAAGAGAAGATTTTCACGCTTTGCTTTAGCAAGCTCCAAGGCCAAGACACCTCGCCGGTTTTCCCGGTGAGTTGCTTTCCTTAATATTTTTTAATCATGTCTAAAATAGCCCTTCTGATCTTTTTTCTTTTTTTAAGCAAAACATTAGCCAGCCGCTCGGGCCTGGAGGGGCCCGAAGCGCGGGGATGGAGATCGGAGGAAATGCAGCTTTTCTCGTAGCCAGGATGCGGTGTAAACCCGGGAGCAGGCCGCGAGGGAGAAGGCTACGGTTCCCTGCTCTGGCCCAATCCCCGCCCTACAGAGTAGGCCCCGGCAACGGGCTCCTGAACAGCTCCCAGAGGGTACGCAGAGCAAACACACGTTCGTCCCTTTCTCGGCCGGCGCGGGTCTCGTTGCCGGCCCAGGGCGGCGCTTCTAGCTAAGGATGGCGCGGCAGCCGGGCGGGGAGAGCCGCGCGCGAGCGCACCGACCTGTGAGAGAAGGCCAGGAGGTCTGAGCCGCCGACGCCCGGCTGCACCTCGGCCCGGGCACTTCCTCTCCGAAGTGAATATTGGCAAGAGGTGTCCAGCCCCGTCCCTGGGCTGCCCAGAGGAGACGAGGCCTGCCAAAAGCGCGTGGAGAGGCGGCCTGCAGGCCGGAGGGGCGAAAGGGCATAGAAGGCAGGGAGGCGAGCACAGGAGGAG